GTTCAAAAAGTAGTACTTTATCGGGAATCCAGATGGTCACATTTGAGTGCAGCTACAAAATAGTTGCTATGTAAGTTTACAGACTTTTTCTTAATGGGCCAGATAGTAAATATTTTAGGAGGAAAAATTGAGGTTATTATGTGGGTATTTACATAGCCATTTAAAATGTGACCATTTCAGAATGTAAAAAACCATAAGTATTGAAAAACAAAAACAAAAGATCAGGTAGCTGTTCAGATTTGGCCCATAAGCTGTGGCGTGCTTGTCCCTGTTGTGTAGTTATTTCCATTGGAGAGAAGAGATTCACAGTCTTATATCAATCAGATTTTATGTTTTTCTTTAAAAAATAATGATTATTTAGGCATCATCCAAATAGCTTATGATAGCTTTATTCTTATAATGCCGTCATTGGTTGCTGTGTTTTCCTTTTCCAGAGATGTTTACTCCAAGATGTAAAAGAGAACAGTTGTGCCCTATAGAAGAGTAGTCTGTCTTCACTTACACCTCCTCCTTTCCATAGGTCATGAGAAGGTAGCTCACAGGAGGATATATGTTTTCTTTCTCTCTTTCAGCCGCATTTGGATGAAGCACAGGAGGCAGAGTGCCAGGCTTTGAAAACGCAGCTGCAGCAGGAACTGGAGCTGTTGACTGAACTTCAGAGCAAGATCAAAATGCAGGCTGAGGCACAACACGCTCAAGAGCTTCGGGAGCTTGAACAGAGGGTCTCCCTCCGCAAGGCACTCTTAAAACAACAGGTATACGTAATAGAAAAAAGTAATTGTGCCAGTATTTGCTTTCATCAAAATCATTTCATAAATATATTTTCATGATGACAGAGGTGGCATTAGATTGTTTTCACAATACCATATTTCCTTAATTCTAGTTTTGGTAGTGTTTTCTTTTTCTTTAAAATTACTGATTCAGTAATGAACCTTAAAATTAATGAGTGTGATATATTAAAGGTATATACTTAAGTAGTAATTGCTAGAGGAATGATGTGGAGTTATGTGAAGACAGTTGAATTGTAAAAGGATAGCTCTGGCTCCGTCTTCCTCACTTCTTTTGTGTACCTAGTTGTACCTAAAGAAATTGGAGAGAAACTTGGATAGTGAAGGAAAAAACTTTAGTAATTGCTTGAGAGAGACAAGGAAAAGGGATCAGGAATATACTTTATTCATTCATCCCTGGTCTGAAACTGTACAGATTGATGCATTACTAGAAAAGAGAAGGTAAAACCAGTTTTACACAGATGAAGAGTCAGGCTGAAAATATTATTTCTAGATGTAGCTTTATTTATTTTACTTATTCTTTGTCACATATATTAGAATTAGAATCCCTAAATTCACTTGTGTCCTTTAAGGTACTGAGGCTGTATGTGTGTGTGTGTGTTGGAGAAAGAACAATGGGTAGAAGCTTTTGAGAAAGAAAGAGAGGAAAGGCATTTGTCCTGAGTAGTAGTAGAATATCAGTTGTATCCAGGATTGAATGCTATGTTCCAGAATTCCAGAGCCATAAGTTCCCAGCAGCTGGCACGGTCTTAGGTCCATTGTAAGTTAACACATGCCTAATGGTTTTGTCTATTAAAAATTGTCATTGCTTCTGGACCATTAATTGGCCCATAGATTTTCCTCTACTTTCTACAGTTCTTGTGATAAAAATAGAATACCTCATTTCTATTAAAAAAAATATGTTCTTAAAAACTCCACCTAAATAAGGTGTTGCTATTTCTCTGGCACAGCTGTCTTTATTACTGGCTCCTTTAAGAGTTACTTGCCTCTAAAAATTATCTCAATTGTGTTTCTCATTCAAGATGGGAACACAGAAACACATACAAATTTTTAGAAAAATGTAGTTGTCCCATGTACAGAATTCATCTGCCTGATTTCAACTTGTATATTTAAAATTTAATCTAAAGTTCCATCTCTTATGCTTCAAAATTATCACTAAAAGAGAAACCTATAGTATTTCAGTAACAGTGTTATGAGAGAAATATTGGTACTGTTTTATTTGTATTTTTAGCTCCACCTAGTGGCTCCGAGTTAAAGAGTGCTAATTAGTATCTTAGGTGTAGTCTTATTTCAATATATGAACTAAGGCCTTTATGTTCTACAAAATCAGGTAAAATGTTGGCATAGGGCTGATACCATTGCCAGAAGTGCAGTGGCACTCTCATACATTGTTAATGCATTTTGGAAAGCAATTTGGAAGTATATATTGATCTTTGAAAATGTTAAGCAAAGAATTTAGAGAATTTAGAGAAAAGAAATCCTGAATACAGGAAAAGCAATACGCATCAATATGTTAATTATGGCATAGTTTATAATGGTTTGAAACACTTAACTATCTAAAATAATTAAGTGCTTATGACCAAGCCACTTAATAAAATCTTACTCAACCATTTAAATAATGGCTATAAAGATAGTATTAATGTGGAAAAATGCTTATGAGGTGTTGAATAAAATAAAGACAAATCACACTTAAAGTGAGTTGAACTAATACTTATAATGGCTATATTAATATGGTAGATTGGTTTTGGTGGTTTGTATTTGATAATAGACATGCATAAGATTATTTAGTATTAAAAATAATAAAAGAAACAGTGGAATAAATCTACAGTGCTTTGAGTTGCTACTTGATTTTTAGGGCTCATGTTTATATTTCAAGTGAGGTGCATCACTATAAAGTAGTTTGGGGTCAGTCAGTTGGCAACTACCAAGGCAGTGATATACCCATGGTATGATTTGAAAACATTGTAACATCCGTATTTTCTGTACGTTGTGCCTACTGGTTGTACAGATAAGAAACAGTCATCTGACAATAGAGGTGGAACCAGAGAGAATGTTAGTTGTTTCTAGATGTATAATAATTCTGTTTGAAGATTGCTTTCAGCCTCCAAATGAACCAAGAATTGTCCTCCAGGTCGAGACACCAACAGAGGACGCCTCAGTTGAGGCTCACATGAGGTCTTACTGCAACTTTCCTTGTGCTTCATTTACATTAAAGTTTCAGCAAAATGACAACATAACTATGTGCATTTCATACATGCATAAAAAGTGGCAGTATTTCCAAAGTATAAATGGGCTTTTTTTTGTCTTAACATTTCCTTTAATTTTCCCTGAATATTTCACTTAATATCAACAAGATGGTTGGTAGTTTTTAAATAAGAATTGACAATTGGAATATCTTACAGGACCTTCCAAACTGAAAATATTCACACATTTGATTTCAGAGAAGATAGGTTAGGAGAGAAGTCTCAGAAGTCTTATATCCAGTGAAACCACCTTTCTTATTTACAGTAATAAATAAGATATTTTCAAAGAAATGGGGGTTAATATAACCTATCACAAATCTTAGTTTTAATTTTTATTGAAAAATATTCTGAGTTTCTTAAATGACAAAACTAATTCAGCAAACAAAATTGAAGCTGTGCTTACTGGATAAAAGTGGATAAGCATTAATGTGTTTAATATTTTTATCATGAGTTTCCTTCAAATAATATACAGGGCATTCAAATTAGTTAAATACTCAGTACAAGCCTATCCTTTATTAGGTCCTTTGAATTAAATGTTCTTAATAAATGGATTTTTGAAATTTTAAAATAGAAAAGATTTAAAAGAAAAATTTGAAGTTATTTGAATCCTTACAGATACATAAATTTAATTCTATATGAATTGGGTATTTTATATGTAGATATTAAAAGAGTGGAAAAGTTATTTTATAAATACGTGTTTTTTAAAACTTGGCAATTACAGAGAAACAAGTAGAAATTAAAATGTCTTTAATCTCACCACCCAGAAATCACCAGTTAACAATTTGATATCTTTCCCTTAGAAGAAGCATTTGTCTAATCTAGGTTCTCTTTCAACCTTCATTAGGAAGTGCCCTCTCTAAACCTTTGTAACACTTTAGTACTTAGAGTTTAATAATTTTCAAACTCACCCTACCAAAGCCCATTCTGGCCTATTTGTAATTCCCCACACACATTTTATCATTTTGCATGTCTTTGCCCATGTTCCCTCTGCTGAAAATATCTTTCCCTTCCCTTGTCTTCTGGTAAACTTGTGCTTTTCTTTCCAAATCCAGTTTCTGTCACCTTCTCTGAGAATAATTCTTTGCCCTACTCCTCTTCTCCTATAGAGTGAAGTACTCCATCCCTTTGTATTTCTGCTTTACCTTATAAATCTGTTATTAAATCTTACCATATTATGTGGCAGTTTCTTATTTGCGTTTGTTTCCATGCTAAATTGTGTGTTTTTAAAAGGGCACTTTAAAAAATGATACATAAGAGGGGACTTGATAATATGGGTAAATGTTGTAACCAAAATGTTGCTCATGTGAAACCTTCATAAGATTGTATATCAATGATAACTTAGTAAAAAAAAAAGATACATAAAAATTAAGCACATTTGTTGAGCTAGATTTCTGTGTAGAGAACAATGACTATTGGCTTAAGTCCTCAAGTATCTTGAAACCTAATTTAATACTTCTTTACAAATACTCTTTATTTCCTATTTTTTAAAAACTTTGTATCATGGAAATTTTCAAACAAAAAGTATTAGTGAAATTATTAAGAACTAGTACAATGAAGTCCCCAAATACTCATTACGCAACTTCAACAGCTATCAGTATCTTGCTTATATTTCATCTGTTTCCCAACTCCACATGCAGCTTTTTAGGGGAGCAGAATAGGGGGCAGAGTATCTGAAATATTTTAAAGCAAATCCCAGCATAGAATCATTTCACTCCCAACACAGATAAGGAAATAAGGACTCTTTTACTTCAACATAGTCATAATTCCATTGTGTTAACTAACAAAATTATAATAAATGTTTAAGATTACCTAATACTCAGTCCATACTTAGATTTCCCTTTGTATCTAAAAAAAGGTCTTCTTGGTTTATTTAGATTGGGGCCCAAACATGGTGTAGACATTGCATTTGATTGTCTTTTAAGCCTTTTAGTCTCCTGTGCCCTTTTTTTATTATTGTGGACTGGGTCACTTGCTTTGTAGGAATTCTCGCATTTGAATTTGGCTGATTCCATCCTCATGGTGTCATTTAATGCATTCCTCTTTACATTTCCTGTAAACTGGTAATTAGATCTAGGGGCATGATTATATTTACTTTAATTTTTTTTCCTTTTAAAAATTTTTGCGAGGAATTTTCATAAGGGTTACTGTGTTACACTTCCTTTTGCATCACATCAAAAGATATATAATGTCTAGTCCCACTTTGAAGTCATATTTGATGAGTGGGCTCAGATATTCTCATTCATTAACAATTTCTCCATCAACTTCTTCCCATTGTCATTGACTTTATTGTGTATTTTTTCACACTAAAAACTATTTCTAGTCAGCTATATATATTTGTAAACCTTTGAGTTGTCCAAAACTGATTCTGACGGCTACCCAACCACTGATTTCTAAGTACATAGAGTCTCCTAACTTTCTAATGGAAACTTTATGGTTTTTGTTTGTTTTTCACTTAATGCTCTGATCTTTCTGGAATATGGTATCAGATGAGATTCCATTTTTATTTTCTTCCAGATGGTTAGCCACTTGTGCCTGTGTTGTTTTTCCCATTAAATTAATTAGTGCTTTTGTCCTGCATTAAAAACTTACAAACTTCATTCTGTTTCTATTTTACTAATTACTGGTTCCTATACCAATACCATATTTATTATATTAGAGTGACCTTATGGTGTATCTAATAAGGCTAGATTCTCCTTACACATTTTCTTTTTCAATCTTTTTACCTAGTGGATTTGGTAGCCATTGATAATAATTGCCTTGATTTATTATTTCAATAGAGATTATTATCTTTGATTTTAAGAACTTGATTACACATTTTAGCAGTATAAGTTATATATGATTCCTACAGTACATCTCTTTGATTTTTAAATGTACATCCTTTAAAATAGCCAGAGTGGACATTTTTATGATTCACTTTAAACCAGAATAATTATTGTTTCTGTAGTTTATAGATTTTTTAAAATAAATGAGCTTTCTTTTTGCTTCCCCCCACCAACCCACAACAGATGGAAGAAGAGATATTGACATTACAGAATGAGTGCACTGAAAGGATACTAAGCCTGCTGGAGCGTCGAGCAAAAGAGATGAATGCTTTCAAATCTGAAAATGAGGGACTAGGCTTTAGAAACGTCCTTTCTAACCTTGCCCCTGAGGCATTCAGCCACAGCTCCCCTGGAGCTCCTCACAGGGGGCATCCCATAGGTGGCCTACCACAAGCCTGGGGCCATCCAGTACATGGTGGGTCCCCAGCCATGCAGGTCACCCTTCTGAGTCAATGCATGGGGTACCCTGAAGTAGCAGTATGGGAGTTCGCAATAGCCTTCGGGTTTTGAGCTGGACAGCTGCCAGGGGATGGATGGAACAGCACATGAACAGAAGCACCAGTGTCACTTGAAAAATATCCAATGGGTCACACATGTCTTACACATAACTTAGTAATTGAGAATGGTGAGGAGGAGCCAAGATGGCGGCATGAGTAGGACAGCAGAAATCTCCTCCCAAAAACATATATATTTTTGAAAATACAACAAATACAACCATTCCTAAAACAGAGACCAGAAGATACAGTACAACAGCCAGGCTACATCTACATCTGCGAGAACCCAGTGCCTCGCGAAGGGGGTAAAATACAAGCTGCGGCCTGGCAGGACCCAGGCGACCCCCACCCCAGCTCCTGGCGGGAGGAGAGGAGTCAGAGCAGGGAGGGAGAGGGAGCCCAGGACTGCTAAATACCCAGCCCTAGCCATCTGCACCAGAGCACGGACACACAGTGCGTGGTGTGCTGGATACTAGGGAAACTGAACAGTAAAACCTGTGAGCGGGTCCCCTCAGCTGGCGCACCTGGGACAAAAGAAAAGCGAGTGCTTTTTGAAGGTCTTAAAAGGACAGGGGCCTCACAGCTGGATGGAGGCATCCCAGCACACTCAACCCAGTAGCTGGGAATCCCGGGGCACTCCAAGCGCCTCGAGCCCCTGGGCAACAACACAGCTCAGAGGCCCCTCACAGTGATAAATGGCCTCCTGCCTGTTCCCCCTCTGGCATGGCCCCGCCAGAGCAGAGCAGCAGCCTAAAATGGCTATGCCCACAGCAACCGCACGGAGCTTACTCCACAGTAGCGGGGCAAGAATCAGAGACCCCGTCTGCATGCAGCTGCCCAGTAAAAGCTGCTAGGGGTCACCGTTCTCCCAGGAAAGGAAGGCCAGGAGCAAGTGGAAAGGGACTTTGATCTCCCAGCTGACGCACATGCCAACTGCCTATGACTACCTCTATCACCATGAAAAGGCAGAAGAATTTGATACAGACCAGACTAACCCAAACATCCTCCCCTGAGAGGGAATCTGAAGAGATAGATTTAACCAATTTTCCTGAAAAAGAATTCAAAATAGAGGTCATAACCATGCTGATGGACTTGCAGAGAAATATGCAAGAGCTAAGGAGGGAGAATACAGAAATAAAACAATCTCTGGAAGGACATGAAAGCAGAATGGACGAGATGCAAGAGGCCATTAATGGAATAGAAATCAGTGAACAGGAACGCAGAGAAGCTGACACAGAGAGATAAAAGGATCTCCAGAAATGAAACAATATTAAGAGAACTGTGTGACCAATCAAAATGGAACAATATCCACTTTATAGGGGTACCAGAAGAAGAGAGAGAAAAAGGGATAGAAAGTGTCTTTGAAGAATTAATTGCTGAAAACTTCCCCAAACAGGGAGGAAATAGCCTCTCAGACCATGGAAGCACACAGAACTCCCAACACAAGGGACCCAAAGAGGACAACACCAAGACACATAATGATTAAAATGGCAAAGATCAAGGACAAGGACAGAGTATTAAAGGCAGCCAGAGAGAGAAAAAAGGTCACCTACAAAGGAAAACCCATCAGGTAATTATCAGACTTCTCAACAGAAACCATACAGGCCAGAAGAGAATGGCATGATATATTTAATGCAATGAAGCAGAAGGGCCTTGAATGAAGGATCCTGTATCCAGCACAATTATCATTTAAATATGAAGGAGAGATTAAACAATTCCCAGACAAGCAAAAGTTGAGGGAATTTACCTCCCACAAACCACCTCTACAGGGTATTTTAGAGGGACTGCTCTAGATGGAAGCACTCCTAAGACTAAACAGATGTCACCAGAGAAAATGAAATCACAGCAAAGAAAGAGAACCAATGAAATACTAACTAAAGGCAAAAAATAAAATCAACTACCCACAAAAGCAGTCAAAGGAAACACAAAAGAGCACACACACANATAGAATGGACAAAAAAGCTAGACCCATCTATATGCTGCTTAAAAGAGACTCACCTCAAACCCAAAGACATGCACAGACTAAAAGTCAAGGGATGGAGAAAGATATTTCATGCAAACAAGGAGAAAACAGGTGTTGCAGTACTAGTATCAGACAGAATAGACTTCAAAACAAAGTCACAAGAGATAAAGAAGGACATTATATAATGCTAAAGGGCTAAGTCCATCAAGAGGATATAACCATTATAAATATATATGCACCCAATATAGGAGCACCAACATATGTGAAACAAATACTAACAGAACTAAAGGAGGAAATAGAATGCAATGCATTCATTTTAGGAGACTTCAACACACCACTCACTCCAAAGGACAGATCCACCAGACAGAAAACAAGGACACAGAGGCACTGAAGAACACACTAGAACAGATGGCCCTAATAGACATCTATAGAACTCTACACACAAAAGCAACAGGATACACATTCTTCTCAAGTGCACATGGAACATTCTCCAAAATAGACCACATACCAGGCCACAAAAAGAGCCTCAGTAAATTCAAAAAGATTGAAATTCTACCAACCAACTTTTCAGACCACAAAGGCATAAAACTAGGAATAAATTGCACAAAGAAACCAAAAAGGCTCACAAGCACATGGAGGCTTAAAAACATGCTCCTAAATGGATCAACAACCAAATCAAAATAATTGAGAATGGCCATTCTGCTGAAACAGTCCACCAAAAGAAACTCCCTATAGACATCATCACAAGCAGCCTCCTCACTTGGGTACTACCATGTGGAAGCTGAGTACATATGGTATATTTTACTCATTTTTGTAAAGCGTTCTGTTTTGTGTTTACTGATTGGGATGTCATAGTATTTAGCTGTCAGGTTTTCTGTTTTGTTTTGGTTTTAACTTTGGGGGAAATTTTATGTAAAGGAGAATTGGTGTGTATGTGTGTTTATCAAATACGCACACACACACACACACATACAGTGCATGTGGTAAAAAGAAACTGGTTAGATGGGGGTATTTTCTGAAAACTGCAAAAACAATTCAGCAACGTGCCTTGAGTCATCACTTCTGGACAACTCTGTCCTAAGAAATTTGTGAAAAGATCTAAAGCCTTTCTCTGTATATCCCAGGTTCTTATGAGCCGCTCACAGCAGGCAGCATGTGCTAAAACAAGTTATTATGGAAACACACCTGTATCCCCTCACCAATGTATTTTGTTTATTAAATAAATGTATTTTGTCTGACTTTTGTTGATTAAATTGGCCTCATTTGGAGTAGGACAAAAGTGGAAATCCATGAACACTAAAGGGTTGCACTGACTCTTTCAGAGAGTAGAAGACAACCTAATTCTTTTTCTGAATGCTGCAAGCTTGTCAGTGATTTTTTTTTTTTTTTGGTCCATTCAATTGTGCCTTCTTTGTGGCATGGTGAGATGGAGGTGCTTCAGGAGACCACAGGTTTTGTGGAAATTGCATCATCAAACCTGTGAGCCTCCAAAGGGGAAGACAAAAAGGGTGAGAGGGGCCCCTGAAAGCTCATATGATGGGTTTGTTCAGTAGCAGAGTGTGGAGATGAAGCCTATATATATGCTGACGTTTTGTTGCTTATGCTGTGATATGTCATCCTAGCTGAGCTAAGCTCTGTTAACTTCCAAGACCCCAAACAGTACTTTTACTTTGTTTATACAAAAACAAAGACATATAGCAGGCAATACAAATCAAATGCCAGAGGTATTTGAATGATGCCGTATTTACAGACCGCCATCTCCTGGAATTCTCATCACACTACTTAGACATAATTCGATTACCCTCTTTCGGTTTATGGGGTTTCCTGTTTACAAGTAGAATAGCCCCTTATTTAAGTGCTTAGTTGCCATAGTGAGCCAGGAGTCACTGAGCCTGTGACTATACCAGCTGCTGACTAACCCTCAGCACCACTGTAGGTTTTGCTGCATGTGCAGGTCCTCTTCTTTTTTTTAATTGCTTTTTTTGTTGCTGCAATACTTTACAAACTTCCAGTTCCTTGAGACTTAGTGATTGTTTGGCATCATGTGAACATCACATGGCAGAAAACACCACTTCCAGAAGTCTAAAGCCTGGGTGCTTAAGTACTATTGAAAAGGAACCAGCAAGTTTGGCAAATTAAAGGAAAAAGCAAAAACTATAGTGAGTTATGGTGGTCAGGAAATCTCTTGATGAAAGCTAACTTTTCTTTTCCAGAGAGGGGTATGTTTTGTTTTATTTTGTTTTGTTTTGCAATGAAGGATGCACCCGATGCTGACAGTCAGATGTGACTTGGGGTCCCACCGCTAGTGTGGAGACTGAGCTGCAGGCGGGTGGGGAGCCATGAATATGACTTGAAGGGAAAAAATGTCCTTCCCCGTGAGCGCTCCAAGTTCCTTTAGGTTGCTGTCCTGCCCTCTCCCCAGTTGTCTTGAAGAACCAGGAGCCCTGCTGCTGACAGATTCCTGCTTTTCACAGAGGGCTCCCAGGTCGAATTCTCCACGGCCTCTCAGTGATGCTCTCCGCCTAGAGCAGACTAATCACCATTGAAATCTTGGTTTTCTCAACCAATGTAAGTCTTCTCCAGGCACGTCAGTCCAGTCTGCCTGAATCCACCCCTTTAGGAGTTTCTAGCATTCCTTTAAAGGGAACTGGGAGAAAAATTAATATTTTAGTGTAAATATTTTTAAAACCAAGATCACAGTAGAATTCACACACAGTCATAGGCAGTGTTCCATGTAGCGCTCTGGTCCGTCGTCCTCTTGGCCACGGTTCAGATGACCAGTTTTTAGGTGGACATAACATGTACTTGATTCTACTGAAAGGGACTTTTAATTATTTCAATAGCTCTTCTGCATTCAAATATTGTACAGTATCTCAGACAAATTGAGATATCTACATGTTTAGAGGAAAATGATAGGACCAACCTTTAGAATTTATAAAATGTCCAAAAATATAATGGAATTTGATACCTTTTAAAAAATTCTTACTAGATCTGGCTCCTTTACACTACTGAAGCAGACCAGTTTTGCATAGAAAACTCTAAAATCGAAATGGACTTAAATTAGTCAAACTGAATTACTGAGTTCATGCAGACTATATATATGTACTTGTAACATCGTGATTGAATACTGAGTCCAAATGTCTGTCCAGTAGGGCTTTGTTTTTGCCACACAAATCTGATTGAATTGTGTGGCAACCAGTTTTACATCACTATACCTGGATTATTCCATTAAGTTAATTTGAATTAAAATATATATAGTTTGCAAAAAGATTCAAATTAGTTCAGATTGGTTTGTGTGTGTTTGTAAGATTAACTTCTGAGGAATCTCAATCATGGTAGGAATCATGAAAGAGTAAAAGCAGGAAAATTTGAAGGATTTTGAAAGATCCTGAAGAAAGAAGCAGGCACTTTCTCAATCAGTGTACAAATGTCAGCCTTTGTTTAAACTAATACTACCTCCTCCCCGGTGTTGGTGTTCACTTAATATATATGTGTTTAAGAAAATAAAAAATATGGGAAATTTGTCCAGCATATCAGAAATTTGTAAATGCTATATCTGGTATCCAGAACTTGGCAGTAAAAAGTTTCCTGTGTTCACTATCTCTCCCTTTTTTTAAGTTAACATTTTGAAAATGTAAAACCTCATACCTTGAGATAATCCTTAATTGGGTTCCCTTCCTTTCATACATATTTTCTCTCCCTTTATTAAAATCAGCTGTATCCCCAAATTACAGTGTCTACAGGTATTTTCATTGGTACGTAAGGTTAGCTGGAAAATGTATTTATATTATTTTTATTCAGAGCTGCCATTCATTTTTAGTAATTTCTATACCTGGAGATGAATAGCCCTGCATTTAAAGCCACACCCACAGGTATAATATGCTTAGTACTCTAAGCCAAGGATTTACCATAAATTGAACTTTTTAGCGTAATCATCATGATGTTCAGCTGCCTAGACATCAGGTAAACACCACTCAGCACACTAAGAAACTGTCCTTGACACTCCTTCCCACTCCCGCCTGTTTCCTCACCCCCTTTTCAAAAACCAAAAACTCTGTTATGAGTGTCTTTTTCAGACCATAAGGCAGACTTTAGCAACTTTCTGCTTTAAGTACTAAATGTCTGGCATTTTAAACTTTCATAGAGTACATTGTGTTGGACACTGGAATAATACTCTTTATTTTCATTTTCACCTGTGAAATATGACTTTATTGTACTTGAAACACCTCTTTTGCATTTCTCCATATGTGCCATTCACTAGTGGAAATAAATTGTATTATACCATGATCTACTGGCTTTTTAAAAAGCTGTTAAGTATGCACATTTTTGGTATAGCTATTATCATTTGTATGTATATAGGCACTATTCAATGAGTGCCTATATGTGTGTATACATAGGTAGATGTATCTCATACTGTACATTACCATCAGGGCACTTAAGATTCTGTTACTTGGTTATTTCTCTCCTCAGTTAAGGCAAGAATGCATGTGTTTCTTAAGAGTGAGTACTCTGGGTTGATATTTATGAAAAGATGGTCATTAGATGCTATCTTTTCTTTTTTAATACCCTCTTAGCACTTGTGTGGGTGGAAAGAAAGTTGGGTAAAATGTGGATCCATAAGTTGCAATGCAGTAAAATAGTACTGGGGATGGAGCCAGTTAGTGTTTCCATGGGTCTGTGTCGTGATACAGTAAAAAATAAGTGATGCAGAGAGAAATGAACCATGGAAATTGAAAAACACTGCTGGCGATTCCTCTGTAAAGATGATAACCAATCACATAATCTTCATGTGCGCTATCTCTACATTTTTCTTAGTGATGCCATTGATCCTTGTACTTCCTGTACTCCATTAATACTAATAACTATTAATTTTGCTGAGGACCAAAACAGCCAAGAAAGGAATTACTGCTACGGCATCTAAGGGTCCCCTAAACTAAAATCAACAGGCAGTGGCCACTGGGAGAGGGATGTGGTGTTGGCATGGGGTTTTCTCTCTCCGGCTGCCTCTTCCTGCTTGCTAATAGTTCTTCATGCACCCTCTGCCCCTTCTGAGCCGCTACCGTATAAGCACAGGTGTGGCCCAACACAGCAGCCCTTTCCTAGGAATTTTACATGGTCCTGCATATTTTTGTCCCATTCTCCCAATGTAAAGTGTCTAGTGTGTATTCAATTCAGGAAATCATATGTTTAAGTATATAAGTGTGAATCTCTATTAGTGATGTAAGGAGGTTTCTGTTCTTTAGATAAACTTCTTCCTCTAAGGGGAAAAGTCACATCTTGGGTTGCCATCTTTGAGCTGCTTACCAAAATACAGATCATTATTAAAGAAAAACAAATTCGCTATTCTGTTTTTCCTCATCTAACGTGATAGGGCTCCCACCAGTTTGTAGCATTGCCTTTGAAAAGGCCCTCTGAGTTGGGAAGAACTGGAAGTTTCTCAGGCTCAGATTCCTTAAAATGATGAAGAGTGTGCTGTACATTTAGCAGACTTGCCTCTAGTGCACAAGGATTACTGATTGAAGTCTATTTTGCTGTGTGTCTGGTTTTGTTGTCTGAACTTTTATGAAATCACTACAATAGGTCTGCATTGGAAATGATTCTTTGTGAGAAACTCATTTTATTGAACACTGTCTAGAAAAAGAAACTGAAGCTGAGAACTCTTCCTTTATTGACATTTATAATTTCTACTGAATTCTGGTAGCCCTCTTTAAAGTCACATTGACTGATTTTTCCCTCATTTATATTCAGATTTACAAAATCTCACTCATACAAGGGAAGAGAAACCATTTGGCCTAATGGTAGTCTTCAGATCACAAGTTACCAAGAAAGGACTTACAGTTACCAAAGGGAAAGGGACTGGGGAGGATGGGTGGGAAAGGAGGGATAAGGGGAAAAAGGGGCGTTATGATTACCACACATAATGTGTGTGGGGGGGGACGGGGAAGGCAGTATAGCAACCACAATGTTGTTCATGTAAGTGTATATTAATGATACCAAAAAATAATAAAAATAAAATAGATTTAAAAAATGATAAATGTGCCATGTAGGGAACTGAAACTCATTACATTGCTGATGGGAGTGTAAAACTGTACAACTATTTTGGAAAACTTTAAGAGATGCTTATCATGTTAAATAAACATTTACTATGATAGAGCAAGTTTTAACTAGTTATCATTTACTCAAAAGAAATTATAACACTCGCACACAAGATCTAGTAGATAGCAGCTTTATTCATAATTGCCCCAAACTGCAAATAATACAAATATCTATCAAAAAGTAAATGTATTATAGAATTATGGTATATTCACACAATGAAATACTATTCATTGTAATAAAAAGGTGTAGAGTACTGATACATGGCTGCAACACAGGTGACTATGGAAAGCATTATGTTCAGCCAAATCCAGAAACAAAATAGTACATACTATACAATTCCCCTAAATTCTCTAACAGGTAAAATTTGTCTAAAGTGATAGATCTATGGTTGCGGCTAGTAGGGGACAGAAAAGGGTATGTGAATACAAAAGTACCCACAGGAACTTCACAGGATGATAAAATATTCTATGTATTATTGGGATAGTGAATTATGCAAGTGTAGACTTTACAAAACTCCAACTGTACACTTGTGGATGCATTTACTGCATGTAAGTAATACCTCAGTTATATATATATATTGAAAACTTATGAACAAAGTATGGAAGGATCTGTATGAATTGCTAATATTGCTCTCTTAAAGTAAGTAGGGCTGTGAAGAGCATTACCTGTTAGCCCAGACATCTGTATTACCTAAATTTTTGTATCAATCACTTTCATAAATTTAAGAAATTTTGTTCTAAATTTGAGAAAAATAAAACAGAATATTTTTAAAACCCCAACACATACTCTGATTAGGGGGACTATCCAAATGGCTATTAGCAAAGTTTTTTAATCTACAAAAGACTAACACATTTAAAAAATTTCTATGTCAAAAAATTTGAATCAAACACAAGAATGCAAACATTCTGATTAAGGGTTAATTAAGGGTTAATATTCCTTAAATATATACATATCATTCAAATCACTCAGAAAGTACCTAATCCACCAATATATAAATGGCCAAGGGATATCAACATTCCATAAACAGGTAATATAAATAATTGGGAGGAGAAGTCAAAACCTGAAGCATAATGGGTGTAGTCATGAGTTTTCTGATTCTGTTTTCCTCTATCTCCTGGCTTTGGCCTAAGAGTTGCCTGAGTAACTATTTTGATAGTGCTGATGACAAGAAAACCCTTCAAAGGAGTCCCCTTCTTCTGTCCCAAAGGGGACCGACCCTGTGATCTGGAGATCGTGAGGAAATATGCTAGTTTTTTTCCTGTTCTTTTACCTCTTAGCCCTAGACTTGCAGTGCCAGAGGAACAGGAAAAACCTTTCTCTCTGGCCAGAAAAGCTAGAAACAGGGCCTCTGTCATCCAAACACTATGAGGGGAATTGCCATTATGTTTTTTTTCCTTTTCTCTCTTCTTTCTGCACTTTATGCAAGGACAGCCCCAGTTATGGGGGAACTGTACAATGCAGAAGTCCAAAGGCATCTGTGTCTTTCTGATCAAAGTAACTGGGAAAAGGCCACTGGAAACTGAAGAGAATGGGGGAAATCATGGAGAAGAAAGAACTGGAAAAGACATCCCTATTCTAGGTATAAAGTAATACAAATAACAACTTGTGTTTGTTTAAAATAGACTCAGAAAGTATAGCAAAGGCTATGAGAAAGAGAACTAATAATGTATGATATATACTACTGCCTAAGTCCTAGACTATCACTGAGAGACATAGCACAGGGCAAATGCAAAGAGCACAGGGAAAGTTTTGAAAGTAGAACTGGTATTAGAACCACCACCCACAGAAGGTGAGACAGAACGTGTCATCTACACTGGTTGGTGTCTGCTAAAACAAACAAATCAACCTTCTCCAGAAGATGCAAACATGACTCAGAAATGACAATATCATATTCAAAATGACCAGAATAAAATCCAAAATTTACTGCACATGCTAAAACAAACAACACACACACACACCACTGGAGAATGTGACAAATTCTCAAGGGAAAGAAAGGACAGATGCCTATTTTGAGATGCCTAATGTTGGAATTATCACATAAGACTTTAAAGCAGCTATTATAACCATAGTAAATGTGATAATGGTTAACACTCTTGAAATAATTGGAAAGACTGAAGTTCTTAGCAGAAAAATAAAAACTATAAAAGAAGATCCACATTGAGAAATTCAGAACTGAAAAATATGATTACCAGAAATTACAAAAGAAATTGCATGGGCTCAACCACTGAAAAGACATTATAGAAGGGTCTGGAAACTTGAAGACAATAGAGCAGCAGAAATTATCTACACTGAAGAAAATATAGAGGAAAAAACATTGTAAAGAATGAATACATCCTTAGAAACTTGTGGGACAGTATCGAATTGTCTAAATTTCACATTATAGGTATTCTATAAAGGAAAAGATTTTATGTTTTAGAGAAAAGTATTCTTACTAAAAGCAGAAAAGATCCCAGATTTGATAAAAACATAAATTTAGAGATTCAAGATGCTCAGCAAGCCCCAAACAGAGAAATTTCAAAAGAATGTAGGCCTGTTAAGGTGTAAACTCAAAATCAGTAACAAACAGCTAGGCCTGATAAGCCTAAACATGTCATAATGCTAAAAAGCAAAGATAAACTAAAATTTGAATGATCACAGATTTCTCATAAAATACAATGTAGGCCACAGAATGTTGAATGATTAAAGTGAGGAAAGGAAAGAACTGCCAACCCAGAAGAGAATCCTTTACCTAAGCAAAGTCTTATAGAATGAATGCAAAAAAACAGAGAGAGAGAGAGAGAGAGACAGAGAAAGACTTAGATGAAGGAAAGCTAAGACAATCTGACCTCCATTAAGAGAAATGTAAAATATTAAAAGACAGATGAAGGCTATATTAATACTACATGAAATATTCAGAGCTTCAGAACTAGGAAAATTACAAGGAGTAAAGAGAGACATTACATAATGTCATGATTCCATTCATAATATTATTTAGGCCAGCTCTAATCTTTATTATGTCCCTCCTTCTACTGATTTTGGGCCTCATTTGTTCTTTTTCTAGTTTTGTTCATTGTGAATTTAGACTGTTCATATCATATTTTTCTTCATTCCTGAGGCAGCCCCGTATTGCAATATACTTCCCTCTTAGCATGGCCTTTGCTGCTTCCCACAGATTTTGCAGTGTTGAATTAGTGTTATTATTTGTCTCCATATATTGGTTGATCTGTTTTTATTTGGTCTTTGATCCATTGATTACTTAGGAGCATGCTGTTAAGCCTCCAGGGGTTTGTAGGCTTTTTCATTTTCTTTGAGTAATTTGTTTCTAGTGTCATACCTTGGTGGTCTGAGAAGCTGGTTCTATTTCAATATTTTTTAATTTACTGAAGCTCTTTTTTGTGGCCTAGTGTATTGTCTATTCTTGAAAATGTTCCATGTGCACCTGAGAAGAACATGTATTCTGTGGCTTTTGGGTGGAGCATTCTGCAGATACCTGTTAGGTCCATCTGTTCTAATGTGTTGTTCAGTGCCTCTGTCTCCTTACTTATTTTCTGTCTGGTTGATCTGTACTTTGGAGTGAGTGGTGTGTTGAAGTCTCCTAAAATGAATGCATTGCATTCTATTTCCATGTTCAATTCTGTTAGTATTTGTTTCACATATGTAGGTGCTCCTGTGTTGGGTGCATAGGTATTTATAATGGTTATATCTTCTTGTTGGACTGCCCCCTTTATCATTATGTAATGTCCTTTTTTGTCTCTTGTGATTTTCTTTGTTTTGAAGTCTACTTTGTCTGATACAAGTACTATAACTCATGCTTTTTTCTCCCTATTTGATGCATGAAATATCATTTTCCATCCATTTATTTTCAGTCTGTGTATGTCTTGGGTTTGAAGTGAGTCTCTTGTAGGCAGCATATAGAGGGGTCTTGTTTTGTTATCCATTCAGTGACTCTATGTCTTTGGATTAGTACATTCAAACCATTTACATTTAGGGCGATTACCAATAGGTATGTACTTATTGACATTGCAGGCTTTAGATTCATGGTTACCAAAAGTTCAGGGGTAACTTCCTTACTATCTAAGAGTCTAACTAAACTCACTTAGTATGCTATTACAAACACAATCTAAAGGTTGTATTTTTTTTCTCTTCCTTTTTCTTCCTCCTCCATTCTTTATATATTAGGTATCATATTCTGTACTCTTTGTCTATCCCTTAACCTACATTGGGGTAGTTGATTTAATTTTGCATTTACTTAGTAATTAATTGTTCTGCTTTCTTTAATGTGGTTTTATTACCTCTGGTGACAGCTATTTAGCCTTAGGAATACTTCCATCTATAGCAGTCTATCCAAAATACACTGCAGAGACAGTTTGTGGGAGGTAAATTCTCTCAGCTTTTGCTTATCTGGAAATTGATCTCTCCTTCAACGTTAAATGATAATCTTACTGGGTAGAGTATTCTTGCTTCTGCTTCATTGCATTAAATAGTATCATGCCACTCCCTTCTGGCATGGAAGGTTTCTGCTGAGAAGTCTGATGATTGCCTGATGGGTTTTCCTTTGTATGTGATCTTTTTTCTCTCTCTGGCTTCTTTTAATACTCTGTCCTTACCCTTGATCTTTGCCATTTTAATTATTATATGTTTTGGTGTTGTCTTCCTTGGGTCCCTTGTGTTCGGAGATCTCTGCACCTCCATGGCCTGAGAGACTATCTCCTTCCCCAGATTGGGGAGGTTTTCAGGACTTACCTCCTCAAAGACACTGCCTTTTTCTCTCTCTTCTTCTTCTGTTACCCCTATAATACGAATATTATTCCATTTGGATTGGTCACACAGTTCTCTCAATATTCTTTCATTCCTAAAGATCCTTTTTTCTGTGCCTCAGCTTCTTTGTATTCCTCTTCTCCACTTTCTTTTTCATTTATCATCTCCTTCACTGTATCTAATCCACTTTTAAATCCCCCAGTTGTACTCTGTAATGAATGGATCTCTGTCCTGAATTCATTCCTGAGTCCTTGAATGTTTTTTCTACATCCATGGTCATGTTTATGATTTTTTTTTGAAATCTCTTTCAGGAAGGTTGATGAGTTCATTTTCATTTGACCCTTTTTCTGGTGTTTTGGGGATTTGGGTTTGAACCAGTCTCCTTTGACATTTCATATTTGTATGTGGCACCCTCTAGTGCCCAGAAGGTCTACTCTCTGGGGCTGCTTAGCCGATGGAGCAATGTCGGTGGTTGCTGGGTGTGGTGCTGGTGACTGGGGGTTGGGAAGAGCTGTTTCCTGCTTCTGAGCTACTGTGTCCCTCTCCACAGACAGACCAGTGGGCCAAGTACACAGGTGAAACCCTCTGTGCTTTGCCTTTGTAGCTGCTTTATTCAGGACCTCCCTTGGCTGGACTGATGCCAGGGAAGGGGCAGCTGGCCAAAAAGTGCAGCAGGCTGCATATCATGGTGGAAGGCTTCAGAGCTGGGTAGCCAGCCAGGGGGATGGAGCGCCTGAAGTTCCTGAAAAGTTCCCAACCTGCTGGGCAGAGTGCACCTGGACAATTTTGTCTACCTGTCCTTTTTCCTGAGCAGCAAGCCCTCTGCAATCCTTCCCATTTAGTAGCCCTCTCACTGTTAGGAAGTCTCTCATACTGCCTGCCTTTCTTTTGTCTCAGAGCAGCTGGATGTGGATCCCTGTTTTCCACAAGCAGCTGGAATCTCAGTCTCTCCAAGTATTCCTCCTGTCTTAGTTTTTGAACCCCACTAATCTCCAGAGCACAATGCAATATAGGTTTGTGCTCCCACAGCAGATCTCCAGGGCTGGGTGTTCAGCAGTCCTAGGCCTATACCCCCTCCCCATTCCATTTCTCTTCCTTCTGCCAGTGAGCTGGGGTGGGGGAAGAGCATGGGTTCCCTTGGATCACGGCTTTGGTATGTTATGCTTTTTGAGGTCTGTTCTTTTCTCCAGGTGTAAGAAGTCTGGTGCTGCCTTCTTTCCTGTTGATATTTTAGGGTTAGTTGTATTAACTATAATTTCATATTAAATGTGGTTTTGGGAGGTTGCCTCTGTCTCACCTCTTACATCGTCATCTTTGATCTACCTGACTTAATCACTGTTGCACAATAAAACTATCAAGTTATCATGACATAATCCCATATCTATGGGTTCCCAGACTCAGCACTTGATATTTTACCTATTATTCAAATATTTCTCCCTTTCCCCAATTGATTTGCTTGGCTCTGGGGAACAGATACCCTAACATCAAAATGCCATCTTGGTTAATTTTGAAATAGTCACAAGTTAGAATAAATACATTAGTAATACTGGTCAGCTACCTCTTTTTCCACCGCACCTGATGTTTCTTGATAAGTTTCTTCATTTTTGCTGCAAAGTTGTTATGCTGAGTTTCAAGATTTTTCTCTAATCTGAGACGATGCTCATCCATCTTAGCCTTTAGCTTATTTTCCAGATTCACCAGCTGTTTCTGATGTTGCTGTGTCATTCTCTTACAGCCAGACATTTGTTCTCTGAGCTGTTTCCTGCTCATGTTCTGGCATTTCCCTTGTAACCTACAACAATGGAGAGGAAAGAATGAAATAAAGCAAAATCTTTTTCCTTCAAAACCATCTTAGACCAGTCTACTATCAACTAAGTAGGTAATTCATGTAGGAGATCCCAGCCAACAACTTCTAATAAAATTTCATCCCAAGAAGCAGACAAGGTAGTTGGTTCTAAAATTTAAATGGGCATTTAAAGGACCTACAATAGCAAAAAATTTGAGGAGTTATAAAAAGTTGGTAGATGTAAACTTCAATAATAAAAACAGTGTGGTATTGATATAAGAACAGGCTGAATAGAGCAAAGGAACACAGAAAAATCTGGAAACAGACCGACATATATTCAGTCAATTGATTTGCTACCAAAAAGTCAAGTTAATTCAAAGAGGAAAGGAAAGTTTTTAACAAATCCTGCTGTAACAACTGGTTCTCTGTATGCAAAATAAATAAATGCTTAGTCATACTATATATAGATATTAATTTGAAAAGAGTCACTTGACCTAAACCTAAAATCCAGAATCATACAGCAGAAGAAAACACAGAATATTGTCATGACCTTGGGTCACCAAATATTTCTTGGGTAAGACACAAAAAACACTGACTATAATTTTAAAAATGTACAAACTGGATTCTTAGAGACAAAGTTCACATAATATATGATTAATGATTTAAAGTAAACAAGTCAGTAGTAATTAGTATATTCGTGATGTTCTGCAAGACTTCCCGTATCTAGTTACAAAACATATATAGTATTTCAGAAGAAAACCCTCTATGTTTTAAGCAGTTGCTCCCCCATCTCCCCTTCTGGTAACCACCAGTCTATTTCCTGTCTATGGTTTATCTATTTTGGATGTTTCATGTAATATGTGACCTGTTGTATCTGGCTTCTTTCACCTAGCATGTTTCCAAGATTCATCCATATTGTATAGGATGTATCAGTACTACATTCCTTTTTATAGCTGAATAATATTCCACTGTATGCACATACCCTCATTTGTTTATCCATTTATTTGTTGCTGAACCTCTGTGTTGTTTCCATGTTTTGGCTATTGTGAATACTGCTGTTATCTTAAAGATACTGAAAAAGGAGCCAGGTGTTGAAGCTATGATTATTGCTTTTTTCTCCCCATACATTTACCTCTCCATGTGATTTTCTCCCATACTTTCTTCTGTGATTTCCCCACTCCAACTATGTGGACATTTTGCCACCATACCCCTCCCTTTTTATATGCCTAAGAAAAGTTAGTACACACACACAAAATTATAAACCAATCTCTTTGGAGAGCAAGAGTTAGATGAAATAATAACAGCTCCAATCAGTCAATATATAATAAGAATAACATGAATTATCAAGATGGATAAATTTCAAGAAGACAGGGATAATGTAACATTAGAAAACTGGTTAATATTAATGAAGTATATTTCATAGATCAAAGGAGAAAAATAGGACCATCCTAGTTTTTCAAGTCTTAGTAAACTGAATCTTGAGGAATACTTCCTTTGCATGATAAAAATTTATATTTAATTAACACTTATTGAGAAAGAGCATATGCAAGGCATTGTATTATGTTTTAGTGATTCAAACATTAAATAAAGCAAATCCTGCTCTGAAGAACCTAAAACATGTGGTATTACTCACAAAACATTCACAGTCTCCTTTTCTGCAGCAGACTATCTCACACCTGGGAGTTAATCCAAAGGAAGTAATTCAAATTAAGATACTTTCATAATGTTCATTGCAGTGTTATTTTTAGGAGCAAAATCTCTTAACCTTAATGTCCCACAATAGGGGAATAGTTGTGGAAATTTCTTCACATTAACTCAATGGACTATGATGCATCCATTAATAAGTTTCCTTCAGTACCCACAATGTGCCAGCAAGCTAGCACATAGACTAAATTAGTTCAAAGGCCCTGCAGTAATATTGAACTCTATATGTGAAGTAAAATAAGTTGCAAAAAGTATAACAGAGTTTTTCAACTGCCGCGTCACTGACATTTTGGATCAGGTAATGCTTCCGTGGGGGCCAGGGGTTTGTCCTGCACACTGCAGGATATTTCACAGCCTCCCTGACCTTCACCAGTGGGCCAGCACACCCTCCTGCTTGGTTTTGGTAACTGAAACCATCCCCACATGTTGCCACATGTCCCCTGGGGGGCAGGCTTGCTTTGGTCAAGTATATTGTGTATTTGACATATAACACAATATTCTATATATAGTTTGACTACAACTATATAAAAACCAATATTGAAAAGAATAAAAATTGGGAGAAACAATGAGGAAGTATTGCTTGCTATAATTATTTGAGGTAGGGCAGGGATATGGGACAAGCATCAAGATTAAATTTCCTAAAAATGCTGAGATAGAAATAGTATAGGAAGAACAGGAGGAACCTTTTAGTCCCATGAGATGGAAATCTGTGAAGTGGATACCATGTGGGCTGTGCTGACCTAGGCAGGCAGCGGGCTCTGGGGAAGATGTATGGGGCAAGGATTTGGGGCTCCTGCCTCATCTGTCTCTGATTATGTGATCTTGAGAGGATCACCACCCCTCTGAGTTTCAGATTGTCTTTTGCTGGCATTTAGTGAAACCTGAACTCATCTTAATAGTCCAGACTTTCTACTTTTTCCATAATTATCCAGCCTCTATACTCGCTGTCTCCTAACACCAATATACCTGGTGCTCACTTCATGCCCAGGAAAGCGCCAAGTGTTTTAAAAGATACAATTAGTGGAAAATATAATCTTTGCTCTGGATGCATTTATAATTTGGAGAGGGAGAAAACAAGCCTTAGGAAAACAATTTAACACATTTTACATCTTATGCTAACTGTTTCACATGTGTTGGTCTTGTTGGCCCAATTATATGCTTGAAAAAAAAACAGCCACCCCAGGATGGCAATACACATGCCCAAGGCTGAGAACCTCAGAGGAGGCTTCACGTTCTAGGGGTAACAGTCTTCACTACAGTGGTCCCTTCAGTTACTAAACAAGTAAGCAAACAATAGCAAGCTCAGGAGAGGGGGGACTCCAGAATTTTTATAACATATTGCCTGAAATGCCCAGTTATTAACAAAGAAATATGAGACACATAAAGAAATAGGAAAGTGTGACCCATACCCAGGAAAAAGAGCTGGCAGCAGAAATAGTCTGTGAGAGGGACCAGATGTTAGATTTAACACAGACTTCAAAGTAGCCATTATTAACATGTTCAAAGAACTGAAGGAAATTATGATAAAAGAGGTAAAGGAAGGTGTGATATCAACATCACAACAAATAGAAACTATCAATAAAGAGCTAGAAATTATAAATGAAATGGAAATTCTGGGGATGAAAAGTATAATCATTGAAATGTATCATTTATTAAAGGGGCTGAACACTATCTCTGAATTGAGAGAAGAAGAAACAGCAAACTTGAAGATAATTCAATAAAGAGTATGCAATCTGCAGAAGAGAGAGGAAAGGGAATGAACAAAGGTGAACAGAGCCTCAGATTACAAAAGGTTGAAGAGTAACTTGGAAGTTACTCCTAGTTCCCTGTTAGGAGAGGCCAGCAGATGCCGCCCTGGTCAAGTGATCTAAGTGAACATCAGCAGGAGCAGGATCGACTGAAGTCGTGCCCCAGCCGATAGCAGCAACGAGAAGGACACAGCAATACTTCCATGGTATTTCCTCCCTAGATACCCCACCTGACTCACATCATGAGGAAACACATGAAACCAGATGATGAACATCCTGTGCACTAACTTGCCTGTAATCTTTAAGGATACCAAGGTCATGGAAGTCGAGAGAAGAACTGTTCCTCACTGAAGGAGAGTAAAGGGCCTTGACAAGTAAATGCAGTGTGTGCTTCTGAACTAGATCCTTTGGCTGGAATCACTGACAAAACTTGAATGAGTTCTGAGAATTAGGTAGTGGTAATTGCCACTGCCAGTTTCCTGATTTTAACATTTATATTTTGGCAATTGAACATAAGTAAATGCTTATAATTCTACCAGGTTCTCAGTAATTTTTTTTATTTTCCTATAATTAAAATTATTGTAAATGCCCTATCATTAATTTCTCACTATTTTTACTTTGATAAGTTTTAAGAGTAAAGCTTTATACTTATGAGAATTTTAGGTATTTCTTGTGAATTGAATTGGTGCTATTTTTTTCTTTTTTTTCATCTTATATTCCCTCATTTTGCATTTTAATCCAGAGGCAAGTCTAGTATTGTTGGTGAGGCCCATGAGCTCCTCATCTACTCCTGTACTCTGTTTTCATAGGCCATAGGGTTTGGGCTCCCTCCATTCCTGTATACGCTCCTGTAATTTTTGTGATTCTTTGAAAATCTGAATTTCTAATCTTAACATTTTTGTTTTCTTTCCTTTGGGAGTTAGTTGTGATGAGATACCAAAAATGCTTCCATGTCAGTGTATTTAGATAAATTGGTGGATTGGTTTTGGGAACCCTGAAGAAGAACTCCGAAGTCACAGACTAAAAAAGGAGAAAAGAGAATTACATAAAAATAAACATTTGGAGTAACTGTAGCCTTTACTCTTTGGGGATATTTCCCTTTACTTTCCTGAAAACAATATTTTTGTGGCAAGTACTTCAGAAGAAATTGCAACTAGAATAATTAACAGTGATGTCTTCATTCTTAATTTTCTAAAGCTTTGTTTTAAAACTATGGCTCTTTAAATCACTGATGTATAGTATTAAAAAATAAACATGATACTCTTAAACTCATCTCCTGCTTCTTAATGAAGTGTTACTGTTTTAGCCACTCACTTCTTATAAAAGAAATATACCTAGGGAATGAAAATAAAAATTTTAAGTGAGAAAGAGAGAAGTATATAAGAGAAGGGAAAAGAAAAATTGTGGAGAGGTTGTACCTCTAGTGGAATCCTAGCTTTGTGTTTTGAAGAGTACTATTTATATATTTGTGTTAAGTTCCTGACAAGTTGTATATAAATTTGTTGCTTTATTAAAACAGAGAAAGTTACATTTTCAAAGACCCTTCTGCTGTTTTGTAAAGCAAACAAAAACAAAAATCAGTCATTTTTAAGTATGTTTGTCATGTTTTCTTGTAGATGTCTAA